AGAAAAGTACACACTAGTTTTGGAAGAAAACCTTCCCTGGCAGGAGTATAATTTTTAAAAAATTACTAATTCTTCACAAGTATTTAAAGTCCAAATTTACTTAGGAAATTACCCCCTAGAACTCCAGCTTCCTTAAGATTCTAAGACTATTTTTTAAATGATCAGAAATGACTATCCAAACACTTTTTTTCATCTCATCATACCTTTAGTATTTATTATATATATTAAAAAAACCTCTTTTAAATTTGATCAATTTGTTCTAAAAAAACGTATACTACTAAACTAAGGGCGAGAGAGGGAGACATTTCTCTGGTAGCCTTAAAAAGAATGTGGTACTATTGTGTTCTTAGTTTAATCTGCCAGGATTCCATAGCCAAGAAAAGATGGGTGTCAGATCTCTACGCTTAATCTTCAGAACATCCGGAACTGAGAAATGGAGCTTGAGCAAATGAAAACAAGATAAAACTTAAGCAAGCCTGTCTTTAACTTTATAAGAAAGTGAATCAAATGGTGTGGAGAGAAAAAATAAATAAAACCCTCATTGGTTTCAGGATTTGGTCTGAGACATTTGACAACTCTAACCGTGCTTCTTGTCTCTTTGTTCTGTGCAGATATTGGCAATGCACCCATTGAAATGAGAAGGAATGGGGACTTGCCAGAGAAACTTTTTCCCCAAAATCAGATTGAAGCACTAACAGGAGCCCTACTTCTACAAAAAACAGGGAAACAAATAGGGATAAAACACCCACAGATGCAACTAAAGCTCCCCACACAGGACTGGTAAAATGTTCTGGATCTGATACGTCTCTAGTTATCAAACGAGAAGTGCTGCCTGAAAAATTAAATATTCTTTTATAGAGAAAGGAATACCTGTCACTTCATTCTGGTTGATTAAATTGCAAATAGCTGCTCAAAGTAAATAATTTTTATGTGTTAACACACTGAGTTAAATGTGTAAGTTTTGCATCAGCATAATAAAAACAAATGTAAATGCTGTTATTGTACCTGTGTGAAAGAAACTACCTAAGTGGGAGAGATTATATGTCAAAACTGGAGGTTCCTATATAAAATCAATCACTAAAAAATAACTCAATTACTTTTTGTGAAGCATTTGTCCTAAAAGGCTCCCTTTAAATACAAATTTTAAGGGAATATTTTAAAATATTATGTAGATATATTTTAATTGTAGTTCTGAGCTTTTTTCTAAAGACTCTTTGAATCTTAATACAATCTATGTCTTTCTTTACATCACCTGAGTCTCCTTTTTAAGTCAAACATGGTTCTAGATTCTAAAATTGCTACTTCCACACTCATAAATGGTATAAACACATAATTTGAAACACATATGAGTATTTGAGATTTTGGCTTGCTCTTTTCCCCTTAGTTGGTGCTTGAGCTACCCTGTCTTAATCTGCTTACTTAATTACTCATTTGCATTTAGACTTTTTATTTTTTATTTTTCATTTTTATTTTTTGAAACAGAGTCTGGCTCTGCTGCCTGGGCTAGAGTCCCGTGGTATCAGCCTAGCTCACAGTAACCTCAAACTCCTGGGCTCGAGCGATCCTCCTGCCTCAGCCTCCTGAGTAGCTGGGACTACAGGCATGCACCATCATGCCCGGCTAATTTTTTCTATATATTTTTAGTTGACCAATTAATTTCTTTCTATTTTTAGTAGAGACGGGGGTCTCGCTCTTGCTCAGGGTGATCTCGAACTCCTGACCTCCAGCGATCCTCCTGCCTTGGCTTCCCAGAGTGCTAGGATTACAGGCATGAGCCACTGCACCCGGCCGCGGTTAGACTTTTCTAACATATCCTTTGGTCATGGAAAGCAGGCCTCCTATTAGAGCATCAAATGCTATGCTTGTTCTTCAGTGGTCCAGCCTGTTTCTGAAAAAGAATGAGTCAACTAGCCTCACATGCTCTGCTCCTCCACAGGAGTAACTATCTGCTGGCATAATCCTTCCCCAGGAAGAGAATGTACCTCCTCATTTCCCTTGGGGTGACTAGCAGTCTGTGTGAGCCTGAACAGCATAAACCCATCAAGCAATAAGGCCTGGACTGGGTTTGGAGAGACCAGAAAAGAAGAACCAGGGATCGCAATGTTTTCAACTTTTTGTTTTCTGGTATCACAGTGGTAATAATTTTCTTCCATGTCCATGCAGCTATTAAAAAAAAAAAATACAGTTTCATGGATAACTGAGAAAATAAGTGTTGACTGGCAGATGATGGGTTCCAGCAAGAGGTGATATGGAGTTCTTCCAGTCAATTTTCAGAATGGACCACTACTTCTATTTCAGCTAAGGTCTTTCCTCATTTCATAGTGTTAGATTTAAGAAAATGTTTTAAATATGGATGAAGTAATGATAATTCAAAAATGCACTAGAAGTAGTGTTTCCTTTTATTTATAAGCACACTGGAATGCTTCACAGTGACACGTTATGGGAGGGAACCAAAAAACATTCACCCATTTTATGCATCATAGCTCAATGTTTCTAACTTTTGTTTATGTGTTGATTGTGCTTTAAAGAGTGTGATATTTGCAGTTGTACATTAGATTCTATTTCTAAATCTAGCTCTTTAGAAATATTCCATAAAATTGGGTTTGCTACTATTATGTAGACTATAATGGATAGAAATGCAGATTCCTGGGCCCCACTGCAGAATTTCTGAGGGTGTGTCCAGAGAATGTGCTATTTCAAGCATCATCAAGGCAACACTTTCAAAAATGTACAAAGTTTGAGAACCATTGCTTTAGAGATGGATAAATTACAGAAATAATGGCTATAGCCATAGCTACGAGCAGGTGAAAAAACAGTGGTTATATGTAAGAAAGCAGAGAAAATTGACTAAGTTTTTCCAAGAAAGTATTTAGCCCACAACCTAGTTAAAACTGCCTTTTCTGTAAATTCAGAAAGTAATTAGAAAAATTTTGATTGTACCAAAAATTAAAATATGAAATGTGATGTAAACAAATTGAAATGTATTAGTATGCATAACTGAAGAGATTCTATCATCAACAAACTTTATTTTTCCTTTTCACTTTCCTGTAGTCTTGATCCCATTATTATTATTTGGGTTTTTTTTTTTCTTCTTTTCCACTTGCTGCTGTTGATTTCCTGAGGTTATTTTTGGTTCTTGATTAACACTACCTCATTTCCATGATTAAAAAAGAACTATTATTTGTTCCATGAGTTTTCTGTTTCTCTCAGTGACTGTCAACTTCTGTTTCTCATTTTTGATCAGAAAGGAAAAAGCCTGTGAACGGTGGGTTCTGATTTCAAGCCTAGCCTTTTAGAGAAACTTGCTAAAGTGCCAAGAATTTGATTCAGACAGCAAGGAATGCAGATTACCTGGTTCTCACCTTTTCTCTCTTGGCATAAGATTGAACATTTTTTCTCTTCTAAGAAGACAAAGGTCACTCTTAGATAACAGGCTCTAGGTTATTTCCTTTTTGTAATCTATATCTTGTTCCTTTTTTAGCAGTATCAATTAATAATTGCTGAACTTTAGAAATCTCTGAGGTTTTATCAGTGCTTTTTTCCTAATACAAATTTCTTAAAGGCCTTGTATTACTTTTTAAAAACCTCCTGTAAGTTTTATTCCTTTCCTTTTTAACTTATTTTTCCCCTTTATCAACATTCTTCACTCTCATTTTCTTCTCCCTACCAAAGCCAATCAAACGTGTCAAACGCATATTCTTTTGCTTTTATGTGTTCTTGAAAATATGCATTGGTGTTTGCTGTTTTGTTGTGCACAAAATTTTAATCTACATAAATGTCAACGTGTTACGGGTTATTGTTCTTATCTCCTCACTCGGCATTATATTTTTAAAATTCACATGCGTTGCTAGGTGTTCACCTGTGTGCTTCCATTATCACTGAATGATGCAGAGCATAGCATGTGATACAAGCCACCAACCGCATGCCGTCTGGCTGTTGTCCCAGAGATGGATACCTAGATTGCCTCCACCTCTTTGCCGCTGTAAATAACACTAATGTTCGTGTCATTTAATAAATCTCTTTACACACCAGTCTGAGAATTCTCTAGAATATATACCCAGGAGTGGAATTGCTGGGCTATTGGTGGTCATATCTTTGATTTGGCAAAGTATGCCAGACAGCTTTTCCAGAATGGCTGCACAATGCACAGGCACCTGGAGCATGTAGAGCTTGTTGTATATCCTCGTCTCTGCAGCATTCGGCGTTAGCCAGCTTTCTAGTTTTATATTTCTGTGGTATAAACACATAAACAGTTTGAAAAGGAAAGGGGAATATAATTAATGGACAACTCTTACATTGATCAGTCCAAATGTTTTACATTGCAATAGATAGTGAAATTTCAAAGCAAATAATCTATCAATTCTGCATTCAAGGAGCATGCATTATAATGGAAAAGAGAGACAGCAGACACAGTATATTGCAAAAGCTGTTGACAGCAGAATGAATACAGCATTGGATAAGCACAAAGAGAGGCCATGTTGCCCAGACTGGCAGAATCAGGGAAAGTTATTTGCAAAAAAAAAATAAAATAAAAAGTGACCCTGAGGCTTTAAGAAGTGAGTATACACCTACCAGATCCTTGAATGAAAAACTGGTGCTCTTCTGCTTGGAAAATTTGTCCTCTTTGATTGAAAGTGCATTGTTTGTAATCATACCCTTGGAGCTACATCAACCATGGGTATCAAAGTTCCAGATCCCCTGGCATTTAAAAGATGAGTAGGCGTTTGTTATGCTGGACATTGCAGGACATTCAGCAGAGATGATAGCAAAGGCAGAGGGGAGAGAAAATACAAAACCGAAGAGTTCAGTATGGAGACCAGTCTGAGAATGTACTACCTGCTTTATGTACATGTTCTCATTGAATCACGGCAATCTGGAATATTGGTGTTGGTCATCTTCATTTTATATTAAGGAAACGAAGCCTCACATAAAGCATATTGCCCGACACCATGCAGCTGGTAAGTACTTGATACAACCAGGATTTTAATCAATGTTGACCTCAAAGTTTATGCTTGTTTTTGTTGTTGTTGTTCTGGCTAAAAAAAGAAAAAAAAGGCAAACAAACATATAAACAATAAAAATTGATATAAGACTTTTCTGTAGGGCAGCTGAATTCTGTTTTAGTGACTTAGGACCCAATTATTAAGAACCAAGAGCACTCTGGCTTTCTGTTTTGATGGTGATTTTCATCTTTACCCTAAATTTCAGACAGTTTTACTTCGAAATATGGTCATGTGCCAGTGGAATTTTGGAGCATATTTGCATTTTGGAAAAGAAGACTCTATGAAATATACTAACACAGACTTCCACTGGGAAACTAGATCCCAGTAATGGCCATACAGGCTACCTCCCCTGCAAGGCCTCTGAGCTGTGGAGACAATACATCCATAGCCTTCAAAAGGTAAATTTATATAATATAACCTCTAATTATAATTAAATATTAATTAAATATTTTGTCAATTTTGTCAATTTCTTTGCAAAGAATTTTATGGATTAACATATTTCATATTCGGTTCAGTTCTTACAATTAGTAAGTAATTGCTGGAGGTCAAACTTATTAAATGTACAAAGTGTACAAGGAGATATTATTTTTGTAATTAAGGCAATAATTTATCAGATTATGGATATTATGTTTCAAAGCACAAATCCTCTCAAAAGAAGGCATCATGAGAATTAAATATGCCAAATCATCAACATGCGTTGCAGAGATGTCTAATATTAAAAAATAACACTAAAGAAAAGCTAGTGTTTTCACATGATATATTCTCCATTCATAAGCATGTAAAGGACAGTGTTGGGTTTTTTTTTTTTTTGTCAGCTATAAAATGCTTCTTAGAAGCATACATTTTAATATTTTTTATTGTTCACCAGAGAACATACTGCTGTTATACCATTAACTCACAAGAGATTTCTGACTATATTTTTATATTGATGACACAGTACCCAGCATTAAGCCAGTTGAAAAAAGCCACCCTCTTATGTTAAAGTAAACTGAAATTATTTGGATCAAAGGCAGAGATATTTAGACTGAGAGACTAAATCTTCCCCTTGAGACAATCTATAAAGGTTCTCTTCTAAACCTAGATATTGAAACTAAAATTAAGCAGTTCTTTTAGTTTAAATAGAATGCATTCAAGCTGACATAAAGTTGCAGAGAAGACTCCTATTCATATTTCCCACAGTTTTAAAATTCTAATGATGCCATGTTCCGCAAAGAACAGATGTTTCAATGTTTATTTCCCAACGGCCGGTGATTCTACTTGAGGCTGAGTTGGTCCTGGACTAGACTGAGACCAGAGAGGGAGAGATTCCAGGAGCCCCCTGACAGTGTCCCTATTCAAAACTAGGTCTCTAGCATGGTCAAGAGAGGACACTTTTTAAATCAAAATTCTTCTAATCCATTATTAGTACTGTTATAAAATTTCTCATTTGTCACTGTTCTGTCAAGACTTTGTCAATTGAAGATGGCTAGAGACTTGATTCAAAATAACTTAAACCAGTATATTCCAACCTTTCATGCATCAGAAGTACGTGGAGGGCCTGCTAAACCTTTGATCCTTGTTCCCAGAGGTTCTGACTGATAAGGTCTGGGCTAGGGCCCCAGAATGGGCCTGTCTAATGAGCTCCCGGGTCATGTTGATGCTGCTGCTCCCGAGACCACACTTTGAGAACTACTGACTTGAATAAAGAAGTGGAAAACAAAAAAAAAAGTCTCATGTAATTTTTAAGTTTAAGGGGTCCAGGCCGGGCCCGGTGGCTCATGCCTGTAATCCTAGCACTCTGGGAGGCTGAGGCGGGCAGATTGCTCGAGGTCAGGAGTTCGAAACCAGCCTGAGCAAGAGCGAGACCCCGTCTCTACTATAAATAGAAAGAAATTAATTGGCCAACTAATATATATAGAAAAAATTAGCCAGGCATGGTGGCGCATGCCTGTAGTTCCAGCCACTCGGGAGGCTGAGGCAGCAGGATTGCTTGAGCCCAGGAGTTTGAGGTTGCTGTGAGCTAGGCTGACGACATGGCACTCACTCTAGCCTGGGCAAGAAAGTGAGACTCTGTCTCAAAAAAAAAAAGGGGGGGGTTGTCCAGACATCCTATTCTTGCTTTCGGCCTGACTGACACAAAGGAAGGAGTTTACATGCTGTAATGAGGACTCCATCTCTGCAATTATTAAGCAGATTCACTTCGTGTAACCATTAGGAGGGTCACTGTCACAACCATAATCATGGTCTACAAGTTTAGCAAGTTCATCTCAAAAAGAAAGTCATACCCAATTCTGTGCCAAGAAAGTCCTGGGTAGAGTTCTGACTGGGCTTAGCCTATTCACATGTTCATTCTTGAAGGGAAAAAGTTACTGTGCTTAGGGTAACAGGATATTGTGATTGTGCAGGCCTGGGCCATATCCATGCCCATGGGCCCAGAAAATGTTCCTTCAATAGACTCATTCATTTCAATTCTCTCTCCCAGCCTGTGTCTCATGAAATTCCTCGGTCCTCCATGTAAGTATACATTGGCAAGGCCACCCCTGGGCTGAATTATGCCTGAAAACATCCATACCCAGATTGGGAAAATAGTTTAGACTCCAACCCTGGGACCTATTTGGCATATAAATATAGAGTTTAAATTACCTTAATGACATTTTTTTCCCCGTTGGTGATATTCTAGCTATGACAGTAGCACATTCCAGCAGATACAGTCTCTGACAGTGTTATTACCAGTCCAGAAAAGGAAAGAATAAAACAATATGAAAATTAGGGAGTGCAAATGAACACAGTCTTGTGGTTCAGCAGTTTGACTAATTTCTCTCCTAAGCATAAGGAAAACTTGTTCACATTCAGAGGCCCTTTAAATGACATGATTTAATGTGACTAAAAGATGTACAGATGGCACTAGACTGCCACTGCTGGGAGGAGAGGTCAGACAGCAATTGGCTCTAACACAAACCACACTAATGTATAGCTACAAGCTGCCACAACAGGGTCCATCTTTCTAAGGGCCTGTTAGGTGAAGTAATCAAGCACTGTGACAGTGCTCCCCAGATGCAGGAAAGCATGGTGACTTTAATGCTACACCCTCAAGTGCTGTCATTCACAGAAGGACTATTTTTCAGGAGCAAGATCTTTAATACATTATCACCTATTTTGTTTGCCTGAGAAGAAACCAAATATCATGAATGTTAGGTGAGAAATCTAATTTGAATCCACCATCCTACACAGCATCGAAATTTTGTCATATGGGCATTGAAGGATGACATTTAAAATCACACCAGTGCACACATTTATACTCTTAATACGTATTTTTAACAAAGGCAATCCATGTAAGTATATATGTTAAGTAATGAGAATAAGAGAATTGAACCAGTCAAACAATATAGAAGGCCAACAATAAGAATAAAGGGCAATTGATACTATCTTGATATATTCTAAAATCAAACTTTACCTTATAAACTAGTGTATGCCCCATAGAGAATAGCTACTGAAATACTGGCTTTCAAAATATTAAAAAAGGTTCATTACCAAAAATAAAAAGTTGCTGATCACTTATTTCATGAAAGAATCTATACTAAATGCAGAACAAAAGCAGCACATTCATTAGAAAGAATATGGTTAAATATGATTCCATCTGTAAGACATTTTCACATCATTTTGAACTTGGTGACATGATATATGTTGGAAGCATCCTATCTTACAGTTGCATCTGAAAAGCTAAATGTAAAGTCTTTACCTTTATCCTGTTTATAAACAGCATCTTTTCAAGGTAACAGGCAGAAAGAGGTGTATTCTCTTATTCCCTCACTATTTAAGAGAGGAAAATGGACAATGAAATGGTGAAACCAAGTCCAGATACATTGAGTGATTTGCTAAGAACCAAAAAGCAAGCTAGTAGCAGAATCAGAACCAGAATAGATCTTGCTTTTTAAACCAGTTCTTGTTCCACTATACCATTCTTTTCCTATGTCTCAGTCATTAGGTTGTGGACTAACATAAAACAATTAATCATCATGCTTAGAGTTATGTAATTCCTGCAGAGATCATTTATTTCCAGCTCCCAGTCAATAAGCTGTGAAGTATTTTCAGCTCCATTTTACACATAAGGTAATTGGGATCAGGCTGATATGTCAAATATTAAATATCTAGTTGGTTTTGAAAGAAAGACCATACGTCATCTTAATGTTAGATGACTATGCTTTCTGCTGCCTTTCAACATAATTTTGCCCCTAGCTAAACTTGAACCATCAACATAGCAGCTAAAAGCAAAACATATAAATAATTGTATAGAGAGAATTTGGTTAAATATCATATTACAGAAAACATTCTCAAATGAATAAATGAGAAAGTAAGATTCTCTGTAGGGCATGGTGTCTTGAGCCTAGAAGCAGTAAATGGATACATCTCCTATTGTGCTAATTCCACCCATTTGTGCAATTCATATCTTGAAAACACTTAATAAATTATGTCATTTTATAATATTGTCAGGCTTTACAAAAATTGAAGTTTGGTCCATTACAGTATTGAGTTTCATGTATCCTGGGATGGATGGAGAGACTTTGATAGAGGTGTTAATTAACTACACTCAGGTGTCATATAGTCTGTTTTCAATCCTAAATCTACCTTACTCTTTACATGATCTTTCTAAGCTTTGGTTTCTTCAAATGGAAACTAGGGATAATTATACCAGCTTTATAAGTTAGTGTAAAGATTAAATAATATATGCACAGTGCTTAGTATAATGCCTGACATACAATAATTGATAAATTAGCTACTATAGTAGTTAGCATTTGTTGAGTTATGCTTGAGTAACAAAGCACAAATATTAGTAACTGAGAAATACAAGTATTTATTTCTTGCTCATATTATATGTGATCTATAAGTCAGCTCTACCTTAGCTCAGTTGGACTTCTTCCTCATTCTGGGATCTAGGCTGAAGGAATAGCCCATATAGGACACACGTTGTTCTCATCATAGAAGAAAAACAACAATGGCCACAATCAATGGCTCTCCAAGTTCTTATGTAGATGTGGTGTTTGTCATTCCCTCTCACATTTTTTGGCCAGAGTAACTCACATGGCCAAATGGGAAAGTATATTCTTCCCACGGGGAGACAATAGAATTACATAGTGACGGATGGGGATGTATAATTTGCTTTCATGGAGGTAGCAAATAATTGACAACACCAATATATTCTACCACCGTTAGTGATTCTTAACAAGAGGTGAAAGGGGAGATACACAAGAGTCTGAAGAATTGACTCTGTCAGCTTTACCTCTGCTTGTTATATGATGTTTAGCAAGACATTTGACCTCTAAATTTTAGACTCCTCAGCTATAACAGGACTGTTATAAAAACTAAATGATGTAAAGAAATTTGAATAAAGCCCTGTAATGAATAATGGAAATATTAAGAAAAAAATTTCTGCTGCTAAAGCATTTGCTGGTAAGGAAATCCAAAACAGTGATGAGTACTTCGGAAGACTGATCAATTGTTTCCCTTGATTATAAAAAAGGAAACATGGGCAATCCAGATTTTTATTATGAGCTCTGAGTGTTTATCAATTATTATGGTGCCATCTGGGAGTATGTAAGCAATGTTAAAATTATTTACCATTCAGAGAATCTCAAAAATAGTCCACCTTGCTGAACTTCAGCAAAAACAACCATGAACTGGAGATCTTAAAATAGAAATCATAATCTCTACTACCATCTTCAGATGACAGGAAAAAATGAATTGGAAACTGGCCTTTATTGACTGTGGCCCAACATTGTTTTCTCAACTCATCATTCATTATTCAGTCCATGAATCACTTATTTGTTCACTAATTATTTATTGTTCACCTGTTTTGTACCCAGTTAAGGGGTAGGGAAATAAGGACAACAAAACAAAATAAGGATGACAACAAAAACAAAAAGCATCCATGCTCCATGTCTAATCAAGGAGACCAATATTAGTCAGATAATTATACTATTAATATGCAATTTTAAAATAAAAAATGTGCTAGTAAAGAAAAGAATATGATTCTATAGGTGTGTATGAAAAAGAAACTGGTAGACTGGGGAGGAAGTGGACATGGAAGACTTCTCAGAATAGGTGATTTTGATCTGATTTGAAAAGTAACTACCTTAGTTTATTAGACTAAGGCGGTGAGGAGGAGGGAGACTTCATGATGAAGAGCATCTCAGATAGAGAAAACATCAGAATATAACACTGAGAACCTGGAAGTTCACTGTGTTTAGCACAGAGAGGGGAAAGTGAGGATAGACTGAGGGTGGAAGCCCAGTTCTGCGAAGTCTTATAATCTCTAAGTATCTATCATCATTCAATTATCAGTGTGAAACTACTAACTAAATTTGCACAGGGGCTTGGTAACATCAGATTTTATTTTATTTTTTTCATCAAAGCAACATATATATTGCTTAGAAATCAAATAATGCAGATAGATTTATAAAGGAAAGCAATATTCGCTGGGTGTGGTGGAACGTACTTATAGTCCCAGCTAGTATGAAGCCTGAGGTGGGAGGATCACTTGAGCCTGGGAGATCAAGGCTGCCATCAGCTGTGATCATGCCACTGCACTCCAGCCAGGTGACATAGCAAGAACTCCATCTCTGAAAAAAAATAAGCAATACTCTCATCTCAACTTCATACTCTTCTAGACCCACTCTCCAGAAGAGATTTTTTTTTAACCATTTTATTTTTAATTCTTCTGTTGGTTACTGCATTATCTCTAAATAACTTGTTCAATCTTTCATTTTTTAATCTATTAAAAAAAATTTTTATTTCAGCTTCCTGGGAGGGGGATTTAATTCATGTTTTTCCACAACTCCTTAGCATTTTTAAAATTATTTCTTAAATGCTTTTATTCTTCTCTTGTAACTATAAATAATATACTTAAGTATCTATTACTTGCTCCAGAAAATATAGATATTATGTCTCTAGTAGTGTCCCTACTATAGTGAGATGATATTAATACCCTTACCCTTTTCTTCCTCTCTCCTCTTTGTTTCCCTCCCTATTTCTATAGCTACCTCTTACATCTATGTGCACTAGTAATATTAGCCATTCTTGACTGTATTGTTTTTATCTAGTTTTGATATCAAAATGTGCCAATCTGACAAAAATTAGTTCGAGAATCTTCCTTTTCTTATCTCTAGACAAAGTTTGTAAGATTAAAATTACTTGTTCCTGGAATAGTTTGTAGAATTCAACTATAAAATCACCAAGGTTTGTTGCTTTCTTTGTAAGAACTGATTTGAAAAACCTTCATTGAAAAACCCATTCAGGTTTGCTTGCCCCATGAATATTATCACCTCATGCCTCCCTCTATTATTTTCCTTCTGAGACCATGACCAAATTATTTTAGCCTATCTTATTCCAGCCATCATATATGATAAACTTTATTTTTTATATTTTCAATCTTTTTTCCTCTTTGTACTACATTCTGTGTGTTCTTCAGATCTAACTTCTAGATCACTAATTATTTCTTCAGCCATGTCCAATCTACTCCTTGACTCATCTAGTAAGTTTTTAATTTCAATTATTGTAGTGTTAATTATTAGAAATTCCATTTGAATGTCTTCCTATGCATCTGCCTATGCATCTTTAATCATTTCTCATTTCTTACACATATGTTAAATTCTGTTTTCTCTTTTGACATTTTAAACATCTAATAACTCTAATATAGAAACTTCTTGGGAATTTTCTTTTGTATTTTGAAGTATTTAGTTCATATATTGTTCCTCTAAATCTGGTCTTGTTTTTGCTTCCCCTGAGCATCTCTGGAAATTACCTGTCCAAATCTACTTTAATTACATATCTTGGCTTATGATTTCCTGGACCATGCAGATATTAAAAGTTTGAAACATAAACACATGTAAAGACAGAGATGTTGTTATTAATTCTCAGTAAGTGGTGTTTTTTTGTTTTGTTTTGTTTTATTCTGTTTGTTTTTGTAGGGTAGGGGAAGGTTGTTTGAATCTCTTCTCTCTTCTACATGGAGCTGAGCCTGGAGGTCAGCAAGCCATAATCCTCAGGCTATATCTGGCCCACAGCTTCTTTTTATGTAGCCTGTGATTTTAAAAAATAGGTGTTTTAAAACATTTTCCAAGAGTTGTTAAATCTAACAAATAAACAGAATATGTAAGAGAAACCATGCTCGGTCCACAAAGCCTAAAATATTTACTATCTGGTCCTTTACAGAAAAAGTTTTCCACCCCCTGTTTCTTTTACACAGAAGATAGGTCAAGAACCTTTTGTTCAGATTAACAGTCAAATCTCGTACCTATTTTTTGATTTGTTTGCCCTTCTGTTATTGACTTGTAAGAATTCTTGATGTGTTCTGTATACAAGACCTTCATGAGATACGTGTTTTGCAATTATTTTGTCTCTGGCTTGTCTTTTGATTTTCTTAACTGTGTCTTTAAGAAAGCAGATTTTCATTTTGATTAAATCCAGTTTATAAAAATTTCCCTTTATGGTTTATGCTTTTTGTATTCTATCAAAAAGATCATTGCTTCACCCAATGTTATAAAGATTTATTCTTATGTTTTCTTTTAGAACTGTCATAGTTTTAACTCTTACATTTAGTTTATGATCCATTTTTCACTCTTGATATTTTTATATAATTGTGGAAGCTTACAGGTGTTTTAAAATGTTTGGTGGCAGGACCATATGTAGGAAATCTCCCACTCGATTTTGCTGTGGACCTAAAATTGCTCTATTAAAAACATTTGTGATATATACATACAGTGGAATATTATTCAGCCACAAAAAGTGATGAAGTACTGATACATGCTACAATGCAGATGAACCTCAAAAATATATGCCAAGTGAAAGAAGCCAGACACAAAAGGTCACATATTGAATGATTCCATT